TGGGTATGTGGGAGTACTAAAATGTCTGATATTTGGCCCTGGGAGGGAATTAGCTTAAAACCTCGAGAAATTTTAAGCATAAAACGAACTGGGGAAGGCCAAAGAACACCAGGGTATAGGAGAAGGGAAAAATGGGAATTAAAGGCTAAGGTAATTGGGGAAGACTGTATTCTACAAACTGGAAAAAGATATAGAACCCTGGTGGGGCGGATGGCATGCAAAAGATATAACGAAGAATCTAGGAACTAAATGGGTTCCCCCAGGAGCCCAACCTAAGATATTGATCCTTAGAGAAGAGGGAAAAAGGGTGCATTCATCACAAAGGATATAACCTTTATGAATGTGCAGAAAAAGGGATCAATCCCTTCTGGGGAATTAGAAGCCTATCAAAGCATTGGGAGTACCCCTATGAAGACAGGGAGGGTTTTTGGGAAGCCCCAGATGATTTCTTTTGGATCTGCGAGGATGCAGCTTATACACATCTACCAGGAGACTGGTCAGGTAGCTGCACGATTGGGGTGATAAAGCCAGCTTTCTTCCTGCTCCCAAAAGAGGCTGGCTCAGAGCTTGGAGTACCACTATATGACAACATAAAGAGGCCCCTAAAAAGGAAGAAGAGGAGTGTAATAAGCACAGGAGGGACCCAGAATTGGAAAGGAACAGTCTGGACCCTGGAGAAAATAATAAGAACTTATGGGCCAGCGACCTGGGCCCAGGATGGGTCCTGGGGATATAGGACCCCGATATACATGTTAAACAGAATAATCAGGCTCCAAGCTGTAATTGAAATAACATGGAACAAAACAGCCCTGGCCCTTGATCATATAAGTGACCACCTCTCCCAGACCTGATGTACCTGGTGTACCAACTCCGACTGGCAGTAGATTACCTTCTCGCTGATGAGGGGGGAATCTGTGGGAAGTTCAACACCTCTGAATGCTGCCTAGAAATAGATGATAAAAGTGAAGTAATCTGGAACATTTCTAAAGAGATCAGAAAAATCTCCTACGTAGGGAACCAAGAATGGATGCCGATCCTGAATACTGATTGGTGGGATAGTTTCTGGTCCTTTAAGGGCTGGTGGGAAAAGGTGGCATTCATTGGTATAGCGGGACTAGCAGGACTGTTATTTCTTCCCTGCGTCATCCCATCTATGATCAGAATGATTACCTCAGTAATACAGTCTAGCAGCACGATCTACAACTCATTAGAAATAACCCAAGAGAAGGGAAAAACTAAGATCCTAATGTTAGAAAGTTCAGAGCTGAAAGAAGCAAAAAGGGTATATGACCAATACTAAAGACTAAGGAAGTTTCACTACCAGGAGCCTGAAACAACAAGTTGACGCAGGCTGATGCCTGGTCAAATTAAAAGAGGAGAGATATTGTTATAAATAAAAATCCCAATGTTCAAATTATATGTTCCTGTTTCAATCCCAGTTTAGGTCCCTGGATAAGGGGTTTTGGTGTTGTAAGTCCCAAAAGGGTTCACTGTTAAGAAGTTCGTACTTGTTTTATCCTTGCATTTGTATCCCCATCCCTTATTCTCTTCCAACCTGTCAGGCAATTTAGCCGCTGCTGCCCAGGATGAACTTCCCCATTTCCCATAAAGACTTGCACATGGGTGCATATTAAAATCATATTACCACCTGGGAGCAAAGACAGCCCTGGACAACGAGCTACTCTCAGGGAACATCTGGAGGACCACACTGTGGAGGCAGCGGGGACCTGGGGAGACTGGGTGCGCCAATCTCAGTCCGGCAAGCTGGTTGCCATGACCTGGGCAGGACTTGAGAGGGAAGACACCCCTAGACCTTCGAGCGAGAAACAGAGCCTCCAGGCAATCCCAGCGAGGATAGAGGCTCC